ATCAACTCTTTTTTACCTCTGTATTTATACTTCCTCAATTGCTTATCACTTATATTAATTTGTTCTTGGAGATATTCATTGTAATCCTGGTTCCAATCTGTTGAAAGCAACCACTAGCACCGACTCATCTTTTTGCATTTTCTATTTCTGATCTATTTAATAGTGGGATTAAAGTATTATGTGTTTAAACATTCAAAGCTTTAGACTAGCTTGATATACTTGAACTCGAGACCACAGCCATATATGATATTCCTTATTTTTACTTGAACCGGGCTTGCGTTCCTTGAAGTGCATAACAATTAGACATTCGAATACCAACATTTCCAATGCCCGGTTTCGTTTGCGCAGAACAGACAGGGTCGGTGGTGGAGTAGCGATCATTCAGAGAGGCTAAGATTTTATACAAGATCTGATTTATCTTTTAAGTTGGAATTCGAATTGTATGGGTAGAGCTTGATATTAACAGTCGTAAACTTCTACTAGGTAATTTATAGCCCCAGACGCATTGGCCTTCTTTCTTGAACAGTGATATAGATCGGAGCATTTTCTGAAGATCTGACAACTATCATGATTGCTTGCGATTTTAAACATTGATATGCTAAATTTAATTCAACAACTGTCTAATCTTATAGCCTCTTACAAATGACAGAACAACTTTATTACTACACTAATCACTTTACCAGAAATCTTCTTTGCCCATTACTCGATGATGTTTGAAAGAACAAAATTCATATCATAACAAGTTTGTGCAGACTCAATTTATTCCAGATTTATTTCGTTTTTCATTGGTCCAATCGTAATCAGTAATGAAAATTTCGAAACCAAAGTGTTACCACATACAAACGCAAAATATGGGCTTTATGAATGGGGGCTGATTACTCGTGGCTACATAAATGAAATTTATCTCAGCAGACTGGCAATCCATAAATAACATCATTACAATGATATAAGATTGAAACAGTCAACCGAATTACTAGTTACCATAATATAAATGCCACAGACAGCACTATTTTCTAACAAAATAGTAACAATAATGACCACATTGAATATTCCATGGATGACCAAACAATACGTTAAACTAATAAGAAAACGAAAAAAGGCCCACAAAATTGCAAAACAGATGAATTACAAGAGTTATGTTGGCAACAATTTGAACAATCAGGAATTGCGGTTCCAAACAAATTAGAAAAAAGATAAAAATGAATATAAAAATAAATTTAATTGAACAAATAAACCATCAAATACCTTCAACAAAAAATTGGTTAAACTGCACAAAACTTTCACACAAATACAATCAAAACCAGCAATCCCAGTCCTCCTTGATAACGGAATTCCTGGGCAAATACTGACAAAGAGAAGGGTAGAACTTATTGAATGATATTCATTTGTACACAAATCAAACATTGACGCTCAAAACACACATACTCCCATATTCTGAATTTGCATAACAAACTCATCTCTTCCCCAAATTTTACAATTACAGAAGAAGATGTCAGACATATATCTATCTCGTTTAATTGTCCCATTCGAAAGCCTGTGGGCCAGATTTATTCATCCCCGATTATTGAGAGAAGAAGAACTACCATATAAGTTTTTTTCTGGGGCTCCAAATATTGCGGTTTTTTCCAAATTTTGACATTGTTTTTTATTCTGCTGGCTTATTTTCTGCGGCACATTCTTTGGACAAAAAGTCGTATTTAAATTCTGCGACTCGTTCTTATCAAAGTCTAAGTCACAATTACCCTATCTATTATATTGCATAGAACACATTCGCATTTTGTTTATCGTCGATCTCAGGCGCTGTTTTATAGTAATTACACACAATAATATGTTTGCTTGCAAACAAATATAATGCACAGCAATAGAAAGGTATACATCTTTGATCAGCGTTGAAGTGACGATGGTGAAAAATATACCCTATGCAGTTTTCTTTGAATTAATAAAATTGATGAAGAGTTTACCGAAAATCATGATGACAATTAAAAGTATACAACGATATTTAGCAGTATAAGGGTTATATTGGTTTGAAATATCTTTATTCTTAAATTTAGCATAAAGTAACAATAAGGACAGCATTACAAACACAGATTACATACTTAGCCGACAGCAATTTTATACACCATGAAAAAACCTGCTAACCGTCTATAATCTGTTAGCTCGTTCATTCTTTTGAACGAAACAGGTTCACAATGTTGGGCGATACATATCGGTAGCAGTTTAGAGAAATATTCTGCGGTTATCATTTCTGCGGTGCCGAAACTGACCGCAGAAACGCAGAAATAAAGTCGCCGCAGAAAAAAACCACTTATACGGTACTGTTCTGACTTTGGCTGACTTTTTCAACATATAACTTACAATATGTACATTTCCTACCTCCAGGAAAATAGGCAATGATACTGCTATATTTAAATTAAAGAATGACCTCAATATAAGCCTTCGGACTTACTTTCCGACCACATTTCTCTTTTAAGCTGTACTAGGTAAATAGTAAACGCCAGGAAATAATTAGTCGCCGCGAAAAAACCACCATTATACGGTACTGTTCTGTATAAACCTTGGCTGACTTTTTCAACATATAACTTACAATATGTACATTTCTTACCTCCTGGAAAATAGCCAATGTTACTGCTGTATTTAAAAAGAATGACCCATCTAAGCGTTCGGACTACCGACCCATTTCTCTTTTAAGCTGTATGGGTAAATAGGTAAACTAATGGAGAGGTGTTTTCACAAATACTTTTACAACTATATTATTAACAACCACCTCCTCACGTCTTGTCAATCCGGTTTCATTAAAGGTGACTCCACCATTTATAAAATTACATACATATACAACGATATCTGCAAGGCTCTTGACGAAGGCTTGGAGGTTCGCGCTGTGTTTTGCGTATCTCTAAAGCATTCGACCGAGTATGGCATCGAGGTCTCTTACATAAGCTTACCTCAATTGAATAAACGGCTCCCTTCTTAACTTGTTCACTTCCTATCTCTCTGATCGCAAACAACGCGTTGTATATATTTATTGTTCTTCTAACTAGTCATCAAATAATGCCGGCGTACCCCAGGGCTCGATCCTTGGACCTCTGCTTTTCTTGATATATATAAACGATATCGTTAACGATGTAAATTCGAGCATACGACTTTTTTGCAGACGACACGAGCCTTTATATCATTGAAAAGAATCCCATATACGCAGCCAAGCATTTAAATGCCGACCATCAAAAAATTCACGAATGTTCAAAGGCTTGGCTGGTTACCTTTAATCCGTCCAAAACAGCATCCATGATATTTTCAAGAAAAATAATACAAGTCAACCATCCCCCAATTCAAATGAATGGAATTTCAATCAAACGTGTACAAAGTCACACACATCTTGGTGTTACCCTTTCTGAAAATGTTAAATTGGATACTCATATATCTATAATACTGCAAAAAGCTTGGCAGAGAGTAGGCATCACGAGATCATTTGAATTTCTCCTCAATCATTCAAGCTTGAATGATTGAGGAGAAATTTAAATGATCTCGTGATGCCTACTCTTTTATCCTTGAGTACGCCGATGCTACATGGGGTAACTCCTCAAACATGTTAAAAATGATATTGAGGCAGTTCAAAACGAGACAGCAAGAATAGTAACAGGTGCAACAAAATAATGCAATATAAGTAAATTACTAAACGACCTCAAATGGGATACCCTGGCCGAAAGTCGTCACAACATAACCTAGTTTTATTCTTTAAAATGTACAATGGAATTACTCCAAGCTATCCCTCTGATCTGATACCCCAAGACAACGAGTCCTACCACCTCAGAAATCTCAGACAAGTAGACTCAAGAACACAAATATATAGCTCATCCTTTCTTCCTTCTGCAATAAGAGATTGGAACTTACTGCCTGTAGATACAAGAAATTCATCTTCTGTTGCTGCCTTTAAACGATGCCTTAATAAAAACAAAACAAAAGCCTCCCCTTTATTTAATGTAGGAAGTCGTATTAACCAAATATTGCTCACACGTCTTCGTTTAGATTGTAGCTCCCTGAACTTTGACCTTTATAGAAAGTCTATTATCCAATCTCCATTATGTTTATGTGGCGAAATAGAGATTTTGCATCCCTATTTCTTTTCATGTCCTCGTTATGATATCACCAGAAGCATCTATTTACGTCCCCTTCCATGTCCCCTGACAATTAACAATCTTTTGTACGGAGACGAGCGCCTGAGCTTTAACACGAACGAAACAATCATTCTTAAAGTTCAACAGTTTGTCCTAGCTTCCAAACGTTTTACTAACTAATATCATCTTTTTTTCTGTCCATCACTTCCCGATAAAATTGTGTGCAGACATATATTCTCTATTCTTTATCTTAATTCAAAACTTTATTTAAATATTTTTGTCTCTTTTTTTTTCGGAACATTCTAAACAAAATCATTGAAAAAAAACTTACTTAAATTTAATGCTAGTTAAAAACAATATTTTTTCTTTGTTATAGAAATTGTTTGGAGTAATCTTCTAATATTATGAAATAATCTCGAAACAGAAGTTTTTTTTAATTTCTAACTACTCTATGAAAATAATGTTCTAACAAATTTTTCTTTTTTAATTATTTGTTTCTGATTTCCCTTTTCTGTATGATTCTAAACCAAGTATGTGCATATTTTTTATTGCAAGTACATTATGTGTGGAAAGGAATTTACATAAGTCACATTTGACTTGTTTTCCAATCCACGTAATATATCAGTGTGATTGTATATGCTTACTGCATATATTTATGTTGTAAAATAGAAATAAATATTGATTAAACTAAAATATCAAAACGCAAAATGTTAATAGATGATGTTGTAAATTAAACCTTTAAAGCTCGGACATGTTATAACAGTGAATGATTTAAGTATTAATTATTTACATAATCACGAGCATTGCATGGAAATATATCGCTTACTGTATAGGATACGCATCAAGATGTTAGTATAACATCTATCTTATCACAAAAACTCAACTTACGACAATCATTTTCATCAGATCCTTCTAAGCAGTCCTTATTCCCATCACATTTCAAACTACTTGATATGCAAACATGGTTTTCACACATATACTGGCCATCTGTGCATATGTCGTGACCTGACATTTAAATAAAACATGATATACCGAAATGAATATTTTCAAATAGAATGTGGAAACTGATTTTCAATTATTAATTGATCGAAATAAACTGTAGGACGTGTAAAATAAGTAGATTTTTTCAATATACATTGTACGTGACTACATGTATCTATACATATTTTGTATAAATGTACTAACAGTGTTCGCCTTCATCCGAGCCATCTGTACAGTCCGGGTCATTATCACACTTCCAGGATAAAGGAATGCATTCCCAAAACATGAGACACCTTAATTCTGTTGATTGTGCAGACTTTTGTACAATTACTTTCATCTGTATGATCAACACAATCCACTTTCACCATCACATTGCCATGTGCTAGGAAATACACTTGGTTTTATTATCACATCTGAATTGACCATGACCGTACATACTTTTGCTATAACAGAAGACAAATGGTATGGTATTCTGATACCAATGTATCTGTTAATCAATTAATCATGTTATGAAGTAAACAAATGTTATAAAAATATTACTACAAAGAAAAATCATCATATGTCATCTATAGTAAGTAAATGTTTTAAAATAGTAACAACATTTGGCATTGTAATTTATCATCACAGTTAGTGGTATTGACATGTCTAAACAATCATGCGTACCAACACAAAGCCACGAAATTAATATGCATTTACCTTTGTTGAACATGAATGGTTTTTGATAACATGCTTTAATATAACGATGGTAAAGTTTTAGAACTCCATTTTAATTGATATATACCAACAGTAAATCACTGCTTATAATAGCGATATGATATTGCAATTGAGCAGACAACCAATTGTACCGGTCGATCAGAAATGGTGGCCTCAGACTGCTCACTTAAAACTGCACTGTTTATACGAAAACATATTTTATCCAAAGAAAGACAATTGAAACAAAAAATGGCATAAGGAGGTAGGTCTTACTACAATTCTGTTCGTCAGTTCCATTCCAGCAATTTACAACACCGTCACATCTCCACTCAAAGCGGATACAACCTTCCATCACCACAAGAAAAGTCATTCTTTAGACACTTCTCTGTGCCAATAATTTCTTCTGAAAATGAAAAGATGATAGACATATGTTGAAAATTCACTGAATGCATTTTTCTAAAACATGCATTATTCAAAGATGATGGCAACTTGAACGTGCCTTTGATTTAAATCTCAAGGACACAGCTTCTATGTTGTAAACAAGGTTATATTCAGCTTTTTACCTTGTAGTAAATGCCTGAATAATTACTTACCAATTTTCAAATAAAAACTGCCATGTTGTTATCGTTAGTTTAGCTTTACCCTATAAATCAATTTGTGTTATAAAGTATGGATCGTATATTTTTTATCACTTATATACTACAAGAAAGATATCCGTTCCCGTACAAAGAAGAAGTGATCACTTAAGTTTTCAAAAAACATTTTAGCATCCGAAATGTGAAAAAAAAGCGATCAAGTAAATGTTGTTTATTAATTTATCATGGCTGCTACTAATACCTGTGAAAGAAGTTTGCGAAAAAAATGTTAAAATCGGTCGCCAGGTCGTGAGCAATTTCATATCCACTGTATTTCTTTAATCGATCGAGGGAAGTCAAAATTACTTGGCAGAATATTAACGGTATTGAGACAATGTGTTGTAAATTTGTTTATGCTTTATCGAATGAATTAAGATTGAAATTGTGTGTCAACTACTAATTGTTTTAACTGTCGGGGTATTTAATTAGATTTGCTGAAAGCTTTCGATACTGTTGACCACACTATACTTATAGACAAATTAAAAATGTCGGGTTTGATGTTGTCAGATGGTTCACAGCAATGTTGACAACAATGAATTGATATATCTGACACGTATTCATTATTTGATGAAAAATGTGGCATACCCCAAGTCTCGATTTTTGTTCCCCATTTTTTTTTATATTCATGTCAATGACATGGAAGATGTTGTACAGAACAAACTTTTATTGTACACATATGTTTGTTTTTCTATTTTAATTTTAAGTAAATGTTAATGTAAAATTTGCTAACAAAAGACCTTCAACAAATTAGTAACTAATTAGTTGATAACAAATTGTCATTACAACTTGGAAAACAGAATCAATTCTATTTGGGTCAACATTCAGGCTAAAACAAACCCAAACCTTAATATTGTTGGTACAGCTGTAATGGTATTTCTATTAAGCACACCGAGTCGGTCAAATATTTAGGAGCCACCTAAGACCAAAGTTAGAGCTTTGTGATTATAGTTACATCAGTCATTAAAACAGTCAAATACAAGACTTAGGGATTCTTATTGTCTGTATTTTATCGCCAAATCAGCGTTGTTTGTGTCGTGTGGAGGCTGTAAAAAGTCGCCCGTAAATTCAACCAGAGATGTAATATTTCCGATCCTTAAAGATCGTTCAGCACGACATTATTGTTGTGCTTGTTGTTATTTAGTTCATTTTATTCGGCTATTTTCTTGTTAGGTGGTTGCAGTATTTCTCACTTGAATACAATTGAACAGTATTCCTCACTGGAATACTGTTAAATCACCCTTAGGATATCTGGCCTGCCTTGTAAATTTGTCTTTTGACGTCTTATCTGTGATATGCAGGCTTCTTAACCTCTGATCCCATTTCAAAATTCCATTTTATTTAGTTTCGCATATTGTTTTCTCGTTTAGGGCACACGCAATTTTTTTAATTGGGGACCATACGCCGTTTTTCATGGAATGGCACTTACGTGTCACACTGAAGGTTCCATGATAACCGCCATACGAACACATCTGCGGATGTTTCAAAATTAAAAATTGTACCCATTCATGTTAAATGTTAAATTCTGCTTAAGCCGGTGCTAGGGGGCGTGGACGGTAGTTTGCACTTGACAGTACCGTCCATGAACAGACACAATCAAACCTAGCCTGCAACATTTTCAATTTTGTCGTGTTCTGCTTTCTGTAGGGATTCTTATTTTCTCTATTTTAAGAAATGTTTTATCTTTTTATACCAAGAAAATGTTAGTTATGTTTTTAATCCGGTGTTATTTTAACTATGCCTGCTTTGTTTGGTATTATGGCATTTCTCAGAATCTGAAAAACAGACCTCAAGCCATTCAGAATAAGATAATTAAATTTGTACTTAAACTTCATCAAAGAAGTCACAATAATTAAGAGCACTTTCAGCAGTTAGGGTTGTAACCTGATGCAAGCAGAGTCAAGTAAATCACTCCTAATCAGGTTTTTAAAATACATAATGATTCTGCTCCGTTTTACATTAATGACCATTTTATTCCAGCCAGTTCTGTTCATAATATCAGGTTAGGTTAAGGGTCTTGCGTCAGAATTCCTTAAGTTAAAGGGTTTGGTAAAAAAATTCTACAATGGTTGCTTCCAATGGAATAAATAGCACAAGATATAAAGAATTCGACCACTCTGAAACTGTTCAATGTTTCTGTAAAAAAAAAAAACACTTTTAACTAGAGTGTAAAAAGTTGTTTTTTACCATTTAATCCATTTTAATCTTATTTATTCACTTTTTCTAGATTACACATATAAGTTTTACTCTTGTCTCCTTGATTAATTAGAATGTAAAACAAAGTTCTTGTGCCTTGCTGGGAAATGTCATTATACATTCTGGACCACTTTGTTTGTTTTTACTTTTGGGTAAATTAAAAAATGTCCTGGTACATATTTCATTTTAGTAATATTAACTTTGGGTATTCGATATCTTTTATATAAAGTCTTTCAAACTGATTATTATTTTACTGTGTTTAGTTTGTCTTCTTATATTTTGTCTTAAGGTTTTATTTTTTACAGTCATGATTACTTTTACTTTTATTATGTTTTAACTTGTTGAAGTTGCACTCATGACAATTAATATGTGATATTGTTTTCGTTTTGTACCATGAAATGCTATTTATTTATATATTATTTTGTTTGTTTTAGGAAATTTGTTAGAAATGTCACTTATAATGAGACGATATGCAAAACAATTCCTTTGACTTTCTGAAGTCAAAATCACACTAAGTGATTTAAATTCCTAATTTAGGTATAAATTAAAAGGGAAAATAGTCCAGAGTGTTGTGTTGATTGGTTTGTTATCTACCTGTATTTCCTGAAAATTTGTAACTTGCTTACGTAAAAATATGAGTAGTGAAAGATTCTTAAGCCGATACCTACTTATTGTTTTACTAGTTTTTCTATGTGGCTTGGGATCCACCATAACTTTTCTTAGTATCTTTATCATACTTTAATGCGAGATCTTCATAAAATGAAGAATTATTTGTGATGCTTTTTTTCTTTGTTAAACGGCACATTGGCAAATTACTGGTTTTCCTAAAAGATTAATAAATAAAACAACATTTCAAACTTAAAAAAAAATACGTACGTTACTCAGAATCATGGAAACTAACAATTGCTAAGAATATATGAAAGAAGAATTTCACTAGTAAAAAAGTGATAAAAAGGTGAAGAAAGACATTAATCGAACATAACTCCCGAACAATAAAAAAGTTCATAGTTAAATAATTAAAATCTTTTATTTGAGCTGTCGTTAAAATAAAAATGAACATACCGGTCATAATCCATAATAAAAGACACAATACACCGACTCGCGTTAGAAATGTCATACTGTTTTGAGAGTAATATAAAACAATTGTTTTTCACACTTTATTTGATTTATAAAATATGCCAAATAAACTAGACAATTGCTTAAACATTTAGAAAGGAAGATACTTAGCTGTTCTCAAGTACACTTTGTCATCAACATGAATTACGACGTACTGATATTATAAATATTACTTTTCAATTGTTTTCTTTTATAACTTTGTTGAACACAGACATAGTAGAGACGATTGCGATTGTTTCATTGTTATACGAAAAATCTTTTCGCAGAATTTCTTTCACTGAGAATGGTGTTTAAAATAAGAGGCACAGTTAAAATATTGATGTGTCACATCTTTTTTCCTCATTAGATATTTTCACATCAACATTCGCCACTTGCCAAGTTAATGATCATGAAATAGAATTCAAATATAACAAACAAAATAAACGACAATGCTATTATTACTGTTTTCAACAAAACAATTAAAAACAATGTGAATAGACAGATATCTTTTTTGAGTTTTTAAAAAAAACTAAGAAGCAGTATTGCCTTTATTACTTGAATTCGCATGTAACACACGTATAAATTCACATAATTATGTTTTGGCGCTATACAAATAACAGATTACACACAAGAAAAACAAGGCAGTCTGAAGGGCAGCTAAATCCCATTCAGCAGCGGACATGAATGTGTACTTCTAGACCTTTAAAAAACTATGACCTTGACAGTAATTACTTGTGCAAGTTATTTAAATTATTCCATAAAGTCAACAGTTATGGAGGAGAACATTTGACCTTAACCATGGGGGTAGCAACCCAATTATTGCTCTCTGCATATCATCTCATAATGGTTATCACTAGTGCCAAGTTGTTGTTTGTTTCAAATCAGTGGTTCAAAACGGACATGAAATGTAGACTTCTTTTACACTGGACCTTTAAATGTGACATTGACCTGAGGGGTAGCAACCCAATTATTGCAACCTGTACCTCATTTCATAATGGTGATGACTTGTGCCAAGTTATTCTATTTTTTTACAGCGGTCTTAAAGTTATAGAGCTGACAGAACATGTACACTTTTAACACATGACCTTTAGGTGTGAACTTGACCTTTGGGATAGCAACCCAATTATTGTGCCCTGCACATCGTCTCATAATGTTGATCACTTGTGCAAAGTTATTTCAAAACAATTTCAGTAGTTAAATTTTATGGAGCGGACATGAAATGTTGACATTTTAACACTTGACATTTAAGTGTGAGATTGATCTTATGGGAAGCAACCTAATTATTTCGTTCTGCCCATCGTCGCATAATTGTGTTCATTTTGTCAAATTATTTAAAAAAATATTTAGTGGTTAAAAAAATTATGGAGCGGACACGTAATGTACACTTTTACCAATTGATCTTAAAACATGACCTTAACCTTGGGGTTAGCAACCCAATGATTGCTTTCTTCATATCATCTCATAATAGTTATCACTTGTGCAAAGTTGTTTTTTTTTTAAATCAGCGGTTCAAAAGTTATAAAAAGGGACATGATGTGTAGACTTTTTACACTGGACCTTTAAGTGAGACATTGACCTTAGGGGTAGCAACCCAATTATTGCAATCTGCACATCATCTCATAATGATTAAATATATGGTGCGGACACAAAAGTGTATGGACTCCCAGACGGACAAACTGACAGACGGAAGTCATTCCTATAATCCCTGGCTACGTGGAAGGGAATTAACATATGACCCCAATAGAGGAATAATGCAATTTTTTGTGCATCTGCTGCAGCATGGAAACACATTTGAAGACTAAACCAACAGTGCAAGTGATTAAAAACATTTATATTTCGAAGCTTCTTCTGTAGATGCACTTGCAGGTAAGAAAGTGTTATTCGCACGTAAGACGGTGCTATTCTGACATGAAAATATACGTTTGTTGGAAATTCACGTTTCGTTGTTTTTCGAAAGAAACCAGTCTCGTCATGCTTCTCACATGTGAACACGATGTTATTTTACTGTTATACTTTGTTAGTGAAATTAACGGGTCTGGCACTGCATTTAACTATTTAAATGCACCCTGAGTAAAGCAAAAACAATCAGAAACTGCCCGTGCTTGCTTATGCTTGTTTTCTTCTCAGTTAATGTATAGCTGCGCGCGCAGCTGTTATGCAAGAATAAGTAATTAACTATATGTACTATGTAAATGTTATACATTTTCATTGAAATAACCGGAACGATAAAGAATATTGTATGATCCCTAAAATTAAATGTAGCTGAAAACCTGTGTCAATTAATGCAAGTGATAACATCAATTATCTTTCGAGGAGATACTCAAGACTTAACTTCCGGTTTGTATTGTTGAGTTAAGGACGTGAATAATAGTTTAAATGGTTATTTAAGGAAAAAGGAGAATATGACAAATTTAAACTTTAGATAAGTTCGTTTTAGTAGAATGTCCAATACCAATATGGAAAGTATAAGATTTCTAGCAGATGTCATAATAAACACTTTAGTTAATTAGCCGTATGATAGTAAATTTAACATACTTTCTGGATAGATAAAACTTCCTCGTTACTAATCAAAAATATTTTAAACCGATATCACTAGGATGCTCTAAAATATCTTACGATGCGAGATATAAGAACGTGCAGCCACCGTCTATAAAGCAATTTAACACAATGATCAAGACCAATGAGACAAAGAATCAAAGAGCACTTTTATATTTATCGAAGAAGGTTTGCATAATAATGTAACATATGCTCTGCTCAGTTAGTAATTTATTGTGCCGACGAGTAATTGACACCATTTTACTTGAATTGAAACCATGTTGCTTTTTGAAATATAGAAATAATTTCGGATTTCTTACGATTAGATTCAAAGCAGAATCGTGTATATTTTTTTATGAAGCTACAACAAACCGCTTAAAAATATAAACATAAGTTATCTGAGATTGTTGTTATTGTTATACTCGTCCTTAGCTAAGTCCATGCAAATCACTCATCAAAAAATGTATTACATTTTACAAACATTAAAACTGACTAGATAAAGTATATGTATGAACAATTTATAGTTTATACAAGTGACGTTTTACCCTAGAGTAAAATGGCTGCGAAGGAATTGGTTAAATGGAAAGGAATAAGTCAAATGTGGAGGAAGTTGTGATAAATGTGAAATGATTTGTCATAACAGTAGCAAAATGTGTTTTATGTGTGACTGCACTTCTCCAGCGTCCAAATTGTATGAAAAAAAGAGTTCCATTTCTGGCTTGAGTCACTACATGTTCCATAAGCACAGTGGTTCCTTTTAACACTAAATTCGTTTTTTTTTTCACTTACACTTCTATATAATATATTTCTTACAATATTGCGTGCAAACAAATGTCACTTATCTAACGTCAGCACATGTGACGCAGTGGTGATTGGGTAAAATCTATTTTAGAATAGTGTCTAATGCAAACAGTACCCATTAAATAGATGGACAATAATAATAAAAGATGTTTTTAGCTGAATTCGATACGTCATCATTGTGCTTTTTAGACTGCTTCCGTATTATTTAGTTTAAAAACTACCTCATTTTAGGAAATAAACCACATGAGCAGTCCGTTACTTGTTTACGAAATAAGAAAATATTATTCGTCGGGTCGACACACATGTAAATAACAAATGTTTTTTCAATGAATTAAAAAAAGAAAATGGGTACCAAAATGTTAAGCATATGCATGTGAATGTTTTTATTTACTTTGCAATAATTCCTAATACTCGTAAAATTAATAGTGTTTTTCGCAGTAAATCATGCGGCTTTTTAAAACTAATAAAAGGCGGCCGCCGAATAAAAAATATACGAAATGTTGAAGTCATCATTCAGATAGTATAAATTATAAACAAAATATTATTAACGCATTATATATTGGACCAGTTCAGTGTTCCTAGGATTATAGAATATAGCTATTTGTACTTGTGTTCCTATTCCTAAATAGAATAGTTATGACAATATAATTCCCCGAAAATAATTATTAAACTTTCAAAATAAGAAAGTCATCAAATTTATCTGAACAATTAAAAGAGAAATTTCTAGCAATTAAGGGAGAACATAAAGATTTTATACATATTTATACGGACGGTTCAAAAGAAGGTTGCAAAGTAGGTGCGGATGTGTATTTTACATCTAGTATGAGGTTATCAGATAATGCATCAATTTTTACTGCTGAAGCACAAGCTATAGATTTAGCATTGTCATACGTAGTACAGCATACCCATGATAAATTTGTGATATTTTCTTACTCGCTTTCTGTTTTAATAATCATTGAAAATATTAAAAAAATCTGAAAATATAATGATAAGCAAATTTCTTTTACGATTTCATGATATACTTAAAACAAAATCTGTTAAATTTAATTGGATTCCAAGTCGTAAAGGTATACGAGGAAATGAAAAAGAAGATGCTTTAGCTAAACAATCATTAAATTTTCAAAACACTAACTTATAGATACCTGCTTGTGATTTTAGACCGGCTATAAATAAACTCGTATCATCTGAATGTATAGCAAATTGGGACAATGCCGTTTTTAATAAACTTCACGATATAAACCCATCTCTTGATGTGTCACCATCTCTATATCTGTCAAACCGCCATGCATATGATCAAACAGTTCTTCTTCGATGATGATTTGGACACACTAAAATTACCCACTCATATCTCCTCACGAATGACAAGGCTCCTTTCTGTGTAGCTTGTAATGAAAATGTTACTGTCAACCATTTTATTCTTGAATGTTATGATTTTTCACAGGCCCGTTATAGATTTTATTGTGTAAATTCACTCAAAGAACTCTTTAATACAATTCCATCAAAAAACATCATTGATTATTTGAAAGATATAAACTTGTATTCTAGGATCTAATTGGCTCTTTTTTATTGTCATTTACAAAGTTTAACGTAACATTTTAAGCCTATTATAGCCAGTTATATGTTGACGTGCCGTAAAAAACAAACAAACAAACATATCAAAAGAAACACTTTTCACACATGTAAGAAATAAGTAATCAATTTATACATATTAAACACTGAAAAGAGGAGAACCCTCGAATGTAATGAAACCAACAAAATACATGAAAATTGCAGATTCTGTTTA